CCCCAAATTTGTCTGTCTAACTATAAAACATCGTCTTTGATCGTTGGACTTTTCTGAATACTGGTAATCAAATTTATGGATGGATGGACCACTGTGAGAATATCATGAGAATGCTTAGACCATGGTAACTGTGCATTAACCATGCTTCGACAATGACCTGTTAACAACCATGACAGATGGTATATACTTCATTCCATATACCTACCTTACAAAAATTGCCATTACCATTTTATAAAAAAAAATGTTTCTACCAAAATCAATTCCAAAAGATCATACTTTGAAATCAATAATTCATTTCAGCATTGCATTAACCCCCCCCCCCCCTAAAACTAGTGATTTGTGAGTAACCTAGACGTGTAAACAGGGTTTTTTTTGTGCAGGATTTTCTATGCATGGGTGTATTGACTTTAATTGCTTGGTTATGTAATTGTCTATGTGTAAAATATCCTTGTTTCAGGTTTCTTACATGTCATCTATGGAGAGTTGAATTGTAGTATAAAACCCACTGAATTATTGTATTGCCGAGGATATCAATATGTTTATCGTTTCAAAGACACCTCGCTAAGATTTTTCACTAAATTGAAAAATTCTATTTATACATCAAATGGGAAATCATCTAACAGTCGGTACATTGGAGAAATCAGTTTCTTGCCCTGCCAATGTTAAAGTTGGGAAATTAAGGACTGAAGCCTATATAAGGGAATTGAAAATGCATTCATGGATGTGTAAATCTATGAGTCAGGAATCACGCTATGATTTTTTTCAGCTTCGTTTTTGATGCAACAATTTGAAGTTTGTTGCCGACAGTGTCTCATCAAGGATAGTCTATATGGCTTCTTTTGAGATCCGCAATCTACATGTATGACTAAATATCATACAATATTTATGTGATAAAATGTCCTATCAACGATCCATTGTAGACTGAGCCAGGGGATAATACCTGGGAAACTGATATATTTGTTGATCATTTTAACGATTTGTTACAATTTAGGGTATCATACCAGACATCAAAGCAGCTCAGATGGAGGCAGTCATTGACTTAGCAGTAGAGGAAGAGGAAGAAGAAAGTCGTATCTCAGACTCTGAAGAAAACCACAAGGAGGAATCTCCTCCATCCCCAGAGGAGATCCCAATCAGGAGGACAGTCACTCAGATAGTGCCTGCACAGAAGCAAGAGAGTATGGAAGAAGAGAAAGAAAATAAGGATGAGGGAATGGAGGTGGAGGATGCTGATGCAGATGCGGTTGTGAAAGAGGAGGAGGTGGAGAAGGAAGATAAGATGGAGGTAGAAAATGAAAAAGAAGATATTGAGAATAAAGAACCAGTGAAAACCATTGAAGTTAGTGAAGAAAAAGAAGAGAAAGGTATTGTGCATAAAAGCCATCATTGAGGGTGGAACTGGCTAGCATTTCTTTGATGGCTTCCATCTAGCTCATGAAGCCTGAAAAACCATTTTTCTTTGTTAATATTTATTCCGGAAATCAAACATCACTGTTGAAATGTTGAGGGCATACTTGTCATGTGCAAGTTTGTTGCATTAAAACTTCAGTTTGTTGATAGAAAAGATTATTTTCATATCAATTTAATTCATTTATGATGGTTTGATAACTAATTAAAATGTAATTAAATAATTTTTTTTTTCCCCTGCAGTTGTTGTATCACCTCCAAAGATTATACGTAGACAGTTGTCCAATCTGCCGGTAGACGATCCCGTTATCACCAGACGTTCACAGAGTCCTGCACGAATGCCAGTCACTAAAATAGTCCATGTGATGAATCTCGTCCGTCCTTTCACCATCAATCAACTAAAGGAGCTTCTGAGTAGGTCTGGTACCATCGTGGAAGAAGGCTTCTGGATTGACAAAATTAAATCCCACTGTTTTGTAACTGTAAGTGAATCAAATTTGAAGTACTTGTATTTATATAGCTATAGATACTGATGTCACCCTAAGACAGTGAACCAGTTAGCCATCATTTTCCTGTGATACATGTGAAGTCGGCATGGTGGGTCGTCCTTAGGAACACAATGTGCGATGGTCTGTATTGTAAACAATTCTTTGTCTGGAACCAGGGCACTAACGAATTTAACAGAAAACAGGATATGGCGCACTGTTGAAATGCCTTGAGGAGAACGCTGCTGGGTTTGTTGATTTTTTGTCTTAATGTTTTACAGTATTCAACAGAGGAAGAGGCGATCAAAACAAGGGATGCACTTCATGGTACAAAATGGCCTTCAAGTAATCCGAAAAATTTAATTGTAGAATATGCCGTACAGGAGGAGGTAAGAAATGCAGAATCTGATTTTTGTACTTAAACTTTTTGTTTGCATCTGTCAGGCACGTTTTCGGAAAACTTCATCTAGTTATCAATTCCATCTATAATAGCACTAGCACGTTCAGTAATGTTGACCACTGAACTTGTATTTCATAAGAATTTCAAGACTGTAAAATATTTTGTTTTCGCTGGAATTAATTTTCGCTGAGAAGAATTTTTGAGTGTTTTGTATGGAAGTTTATTTTCCCTGATTTTTTTATGAGTTGATTGTAAAATATTGGAACAACTATTCGCTGGATTTTATTTTCACGAAATCATTCCTAAAGCGAAAATAAAGGATTCTACAATATCTGAAAAAAAATGGTATATTATCTGATTAGAAGCGTAGGAGAAAAAAAAGAAGAAAACATGTTGGAATAAATTTGAGGTTGTGTTACAACTGTGTGTTGGCGAGACAAACCTTACACATGTATGACTGTACAGTTTGATTCAGCAAATGCACGTCTTCCTCAGATTGACAGACATAAGGGAGTTGCAATAGCAAAGACAGAGGTTAAGGTAAAAATGGATATACCGCCAAGAGAGAGAAGAGATTCATACAGAGAACGGGAAAAGGAGCGAAGGGAAAAGGAAAAGGAGCGGGACCGCGAGAGAGAAAAGGAAAGAGACCGGCGGAGAGACAGTTCGAGAGAGAAGAGACGCAGAGAACGAGACAGAGAAGAGAGAAGTGAGTATTTTTGGTCATTCTGTTCGATTATGTCCGTGATTTGTTGCTTCAATTTTAAAACTTAAAGGGAAGTCCGGACAAACAACATCGTGCTTCCAGATAAGAGCTCCATGAGAGCATGGTAGCATACATATATCTGTGCCCAACCCTACATATAAAATTGTTGTCTTGGTAACACAACTGAAAATATTCCTTTCTGTATTTTTCTATAAAATGCTCTATTCTTTGTACATTTTATACAATTTATCGATGAGAGTAGCTATTGATTTTACTTTTTTTTTACAACATTCTAATTAATTATATTAGAAATATTTACTCAAGTAATATGCACACTGAAAATTTTAACTTTCTCATCAGTATTTCTCAAGTTATAAAATCATTTTCTCAACGGTGGCTATGATTTCATACTTTACCCACAATCCTTTGCTGGTGAATCAAGAAGGTGGACTATGATATAAAATATGTGAATTGCATGTTTCACTTATTGCTCACTTACTGCATGTTTCTCTGCTTGCTCACATACTGCATGTTTATCTGCTTGCTCACATACTGCATGTTTATCTGCTTGCTCACATACTGCATGTTTCTCTGCTTGCTCACATACTGCATGTTTCTCTGCTTGCTCACATACTGCATGTTTCTCTGCTTGCTCACATACTGCATGTTTCTCTGCTTGCTCACATACTGCATGTTTCTCTGCTTGCTCACATACTGCATGTTTCTCTGCTTGCTCACATACTACTGCATGTTTCTCTGCTTGCTCACTTACTGCACGTTTCTCTGCTTGCTCACTTACTGCACGTTTCTCTGCTTGCTCACTTACTGTACGTTTCTCTGCTTGCTCTCACACACTGCATGTTTCTCTGCTTGCTCACACACACTGCATGTTTCTCTGCTTGCTCACACACACTGCATGTTTCTCTGCTTGCTCACATACTGCATGTTTCTCTGCTTGCTCACACACTGCATGTTTCTCTGCTTGCTCACATACTGCATGTTTCTCTGCTTGCTCACACACTGCATGTTTCTCTGCTTGCTCACACACTGTATGTTTCTCTGCTTGCTCACTTACTGCATGTTTCTCTGCTGCCTAATTTACTGCATGTTTCTCTGCTGCCTAATTTACATGTCACATTATAGTTTTCTGTTCTCAATTTTGTGTGATTTCCTTTTTCTCGCAACTTTTTGTAAAAAAGTTCCCAGGCATGAGTCTGTCCTCATAGATGGCTGATGTTATACATTGATTCATTTTAAATAAAATTTTATAATTTTTGCCCCAGAAGTGAAAGTTGAACCAGAAGAACCGCCTGCCAAACTTTTAGATGATCTGTTCAGAAAGACAAAAGCCACTCCTTGTATATATTGGCTACCTCTCACAGAAGAACAGGTCAGTTTTCAGTAGACATAATTAGTCCTCGTTTTGGACGACGTGTGAAATTAGGACTGTTAATTTAGGCTTTGTCTGTAGCTCTTTTTCAGACATGCTTTGAAAATCGGTGCATGTTGGAATACAGAGATAGAACCATGATACAGTGATTGTTGGCACACCATTAAACTATATTTTGATTGTAAACAGGCTGTAGTGAAAGAAAAAGAAAGACAGGAACGAAAAAAACAGAGAGAAGAGGCCGATGCAAAGCTAGAGAAGGAGCGACAGAAACGAGAAGAAGAAAGGTGGCGTAATGACAGACGAGGAAGATCACGGTCGAGGAATAGAGATCAAAATCGAAGTAGGCGTCGCTAACAATTTTTCAGGTCGGGGGGTTGTGTTTATCTTTGTACAGAAACGTTTGTGGGTGTCTTTAAGTGGTTGAGTGTTTGAAGGCACCCAACATGTACAGAACTAGTCTTTGTAGTGATTTTTACTTGATAGAATTTGTCTGGTTTCATCTCCATGTACAAACATGATTTACTTTGGTATATACTGTTTTTTAAGTCAAGTGTTTGTACCATATTTTGTATTAATTTGGGATTGCAGGGAGGGAAACAATTCAGTGGCATTGTGGTACCAAACTTTGTTATAGGGGAGGAAAAGGGGTGGGGGCTGAGTCGTGGGTAATGCAGTTATTTCTGTACCAGCGAATGAGTTGATGTCTTTCAGTATTTATTGCTTTATTCCATGAAATATCTAGTCTTTTCCATTTTAACTGGGTACATGGACAACGTCTGCATTTTCTGAGGAACTCTGTTTATGTGTTTTCTGGGTGGGGTCAGGTCAGCTCAATACACAACCATGTTACTTGTCTATTTCAACTCCTCAACCCAGTTATTGCCTTCACACACAAAAATGTTACACTAGTTTTACATACATTCCTGAAATAGATCATAGCTTCAATTGCACTGTCAGACTGAATGGTGTTTTTTTTTTTTTTTCTCTACAAATTGTCTGTATTAATTAAGAGTAATAAAAAATGTAAAAAAAAAAAATTTTTTTTAGTTTTATTAAAAAAAAAAATTTTAACAAATGTTAATGTCCCTCTATTTTCTCATACCGGTAAATTGTTTACTTTTTCCTGTTGTTTGCTTAAGTGCAGAGGATAAAATAGTGGCCTATGCACGACACATCCTGGTATTGGAAGATAGTAAGGAACAGGATGTGTGACCATTTTCGGGGTCATGCATAAGACCTATTCTGTAATGTCAAATCTGGCTTCAAGCCAATTTATTCAGACATTGATAAATTGTGTTTTTGTGCGTGGATGAATATAAAAATCTCCCTGGTTAAATTTGTTGAGAACATTGTATCTTTGTGCGCAAATAAAATACACATTTTTTTTGATGTTAAGTATTAAAACTAACTTGCATGTACTAATAATTACCGGTAAAGATAACTGAGGCACCCCTTCCCCCAATTCACTAACTTGTATGCCATACAAGTCTGAGGCAGTACATGTGAAAAAAGTCTACAAAGCAGAAGTCTATAAACAATAAGTGCATTGCATATTAAGCACATATTGCATGGCCATGAGGGCACTATTATACGTCTATTTCTCCGAGGGGTTGTGGGGTACCAAAAATACATGCTATTTCACGAGGCCAAGGGAAATAGCAGGTATTGTTGGTATCCCACAACCCAGACGGGAAAATAGATGTATACTAGTGCCCGAATTAGGCCATGCAATATGTGTTTTATAACACATTACACGTTCATACTGTACCATTAAATAGTAAACACACTGCATGCTTCTTCTCTACGCCTGCTAGCAGTGTCCCGATTTCTTCACAAGACGATGTAAAGACGCTTCTAGAAAACCTGATTGCGTCCTTCGTATTTGGTGCATCTTTACTTTCTACTAGTGTGTCAAGTTCTTCTTCTGAACTGAAGGTAAATCATCCAGTTTTTTGAAGCGGACCATCTATATCGGCGACCGAACTACCAGACGACATATTGGAAATCGTGTGACGAGTGACGTCATCCCCGGGCACTAGTTGAGGTACTAGTCTCCCTAGGGAACTAGTAATTTCCCTGGCGCTACTATGGTAATTTAGCCGATAACGCGTGATCCTGTTTTGACCAATTACAGTACAGTATTAACTAGTGATGTGTTATAATGGTTAAGAGTGGGTGTGTAATTTATGCAAATTTTAAGATACTATACAGTGTCTGCTGTTCAATCAATGGTCATCTTGTAAATGTCAAAAGGCATTATGTTACAGCTACTGGGTGTTATGACTTGTATCCAGACAATCTGATGTACCGGTACACTGTCTCTGTGGAACTGTACTATTTTCATAAACACAAATGAAAATATTCAGTGCATTATTGTGTATATCGTGACGACTGACGTATTCTTGATGCTCTATTTTTGTATACCCCCTGGTAGCTCTTATGATAAGGGGTTATAGGTACAGACTTTCAAATACAAAAGTTATGGTTTGAAACAAGTTTGAACTCGTTCAAAGCTGTGAAGTACCATGTTACCTGCTTGTGAAACTAGCCTGAGGTTTCAACACAAATCTGAGAGATCTGTGAAACAGGATTGCATTTGTTTTGCCAAGTATTCATGCACATGCTTTTTCTGTTGAATTGCATATCCATATATATATTTAGAAGTCCAAGCTTTGCGTCCTATTATCTTTTTTTTTTTTTGGCAACTCAATTAACAAAACTGCTGAACAAAATGAACTAATCCAGTGTGCAAAATCTGTGCTAGACATATAGGTCAGTAAGCTAAAAAAAAAAAATTCACTGGCCAGGGAGGATCATACTACAAAGACTTTCTTTATGATTTCCTATCATTTGATAAGGAAATTCAAGTTGCTTAAACTGATTGCATGATATAGTGTGGGTGGGAATATAGTGGTTGCCAGCATCAGTCTGTATAGAGTCGTATCAGCGCTATGTATAACCGGTATATAAATGCTGATGGAAACGTTCATGACCTTATATGGTCATGTGACCTTAGTAAAAATGCATAACTATCATTTTTGGAGCACTATTGCAGATAGAAATATTCAACCAGAGCAGTCTTGCAATAATAGTCGTGATACAGATCTTGGCATGTTGCTGGGGAAAAAACTGAAAGAGTCAGAATCAAAACTCGTACCAGGATTTGCTTTCTGAGCGCTTAGCACAAACCCAAATCATGCACATATTGATTCATAATGTGACATGATGATGCAGGGAGGTGCAGTTAGATATGGTTGGATGATGAAATTAATGCAGAACGTTGTCGCAGACTCATTTTTATGTGCTGCATTAACATAAAAATAACTGTTCTTTGAATCCTTTGCTGTTCATGTGCATAATAAGCAGATAGGATTTCAACAGGAATTATCATCGTCATAACATGCGCATCGTCTGCCATGTTTGGGGCAAATAAAAGGTCAACGAATGAGGTGGGTTCTGACTAATATGAAAGCAACTGCTGTAACCAAATTCAGCAAATTGGATTACAAATAAGTGCATGCATATATGTAATTTACATAAACATAAGTAGCATTTATGTACAGCATCTTAACACAGGTGAAGTGCCCAAAACGCCATTGTACTCTGTTATTTGAACGATTCACTATTATATTCTTATCACTGATAAGGATAATTTAGTTTAATTTAGTATCTAAGTTATAAATTTACCTTTCGTGGATTCATCAACTTCAGGATATGTATGCAAGTATTTATGAAACGTTCAAATCTAATAGAGGTCCACCCAAGGTTAATATTTACAAATTATCAAATCAGCAGTTACCAAGAATTCCAAATATCTTTATTTACCGGTTATGTTCAAATCTAATAGTGGTCAACCCAAGTAGAAAGCAATCAAAAATCACATTTTTGACTGAAGCTTACAAAAATATTAATTAAAAATAGAGAATTGAAAATATCGTCACAAAATGATCAAATCTTGTAGCAGGTTCACCCAAGGAATCTATGTACCAAGTATAAAAGCATCAGAGTAAATCAATGTTTTTGCATGCCAAGTTGTGAACGATAATAAAAACCATACAAGGTGCATCAGTTTAAAAAAAAAAAATCACATGATATTTTTTGCATAATCAAGCTTCACAAGGTAAATGAATATTTTTTTCATATTTTAAAAATTATGCATGTCCAGATAATATAACACAAGGTATATCAAGTTTGATCACATGGAAATGTTTTGCACAGTCACAAGAAACTGACGTCCTGCAAACTACCAGTATACCTTGAATTTTACATAGACAAAAATTTATAATTGCAGAAATAAACATGGTCGAAAGTGATATAGATATTTTGGAAAGAGTTCCTTTTGTATAGCCCACCCTTAACCTCCAACACTCGCTAATTTAATTGCCCCTCCTAAGGACACCTGTAGTTACCAGAGGGGGCATATACAATTAGAATTGGGGGTACAAAAGCAACTCTTGCATGTGTCGCTGTGTGTGTGTTGTCACTTGGTTGGGGTTTTGGACGAACCACCAGACTAGCTATGCTTCAAACAAATACAGTTGAGGGCAGCATACACAAAGTGGAATGCGATATACCAATTGAGGGCAGCATACACAAAGTGGAATGCAAAATACCATTGAGGGCAGCATACACAAAGTGGAATGCGAAATACCAATTGAGGGCAGCACACACAAAGTGGAATGCAAAATACCATTGAGGGCAGCATACACAAAGTGGAATGCGAAATACCGTTGAGGGCAGCACACACAAATTGGAATGCGAAATACCAATTGAGGGCAGCACACACAAAGTTTGGCTGGTTCCCGCCTCAAGTGTCATGGCGAACCAAGCCACAAGAGGCCGGTAACTAGTAACGGTTTGGGCATTCTGATTGGTACATCACTTTCTCGTTGCTTGTTCCATTTCCCTTAGTTACCTGACGTCAGCGCTTATGCTCGTGGCCGTTCAGGGGTTTCCTTTTGCTTTCGAAAGTTGGGCGAATAAAAAGAATTGTTTCTTTTGTTATAAATTTGCACAGAACATATCAAATCTGTAAATCTAAGCAGGTAGTATGCATGAGCGTGGCTTTATTGTAGCATTATAGACACGTTTACGCCAAACGGAACTTGGAATGTTTTCAAATTACGTCACCCAGTCGCGTTCCTTCCGGCCTGAAAACCGGCCCAAATGGAACAATATGGTGATTACTAGTTACCTGCGTCCTACCTGCCATTCGCAAAGGACGCCGGGAACCAGCGAAACACAAAGTGGAATGCAAAATACCATTGAGGGCAGCATACACAAAGTGGAATGCGATATACCAATTGAGGGCAGCATACACATAGTGGAATGCGAAATACCAATTGAGGGCAGCATACACAAAGTGGAATGCAAAATACCATTGAGGGCAGCATACACAAAGTGGAATGCGAAATACAAATTGAGGGCAGCACACACAAAGTGGAATGCAAAATACCAATTGAGGGCAGCACACACAAAGTGGAATGCGAAATACCAATTGAGGGCAGCATACACATAGTGGAATGCAAAATACCAATTGAGGGCAGCATACACAAAGTGGAATGCAAAATACCATTGAGGGCAGCATACACAGTGGAATGCGAAATACCAATTGAGGGCAGCACACACAAAGTGGAATGCGAAATACAAATTGAGGGCAGCACACACAAAGTGGAATGCAAAATACCAATTGAGGGCAGCACACACAAAGTGGAATGCGAAATACCAATTGAGGGCAGCATACACATAGTGGAATGCAAAATACCAATTGAGGGCAGCATACACAAAGTGGAATGCAAAATACCATTAAGGGCAGCATACACAAAGTGGAATGCAAAATACCATTGAGGGCAGCACACACAAAGTGGAATGCAAAATACCATTGAGGGCAGCATACACAAAGTGGAATGCAAAATACCATTAAGGGCAGCATACACAAAGTGGAATGCAAAATACCATTAAGGGCAGCATACACAAAGTGGAATGCAAAATACCATTAAGGGCAGCATACACAAAGTGGAATGCAAAATACCATTGAGGGCAGCATACACAAAGTGGAATGCGATATACCAATTGAGGGCAGCACACACAAAGTGGAATGCGAAATACCAATTGAGGGCAGCATACACAAAGTAGAATGCAATATACCATTAAGGGCAGCATACACAAAGTGGAATGCAAAATACCATCATGGGCAATTGATGTATGCGCACGCTATATACCTCACGAATAGAACCTCACAGATACGACCTCACGAATAGGACTCAGGAAGTGACGTATTGATTGTTCAATGGCGTTGTGGCACATTATAATTTAACGTTGCCGGGCCCATTAGTATCAATATATTTGGTATTTCGTAAATAGAAACTGAGCTCGCGACGTGGACTCGGGTCGCACACAGTCGGACAGAGCAAGGGAGTGTTTGGTTATTGAATGACCCTTGGTTTGCGGTGCTACTATTCGATGACTCGCGATGTAACGGTCGGTACTGTGACTGATTCAAACGCCGTGTGCCGTTATATTCCTGGGCACAGAATGTGTTTTGAGGCCTTCGAGTTCCAGTTCATAATCTTCAACTTACCGGTAGTGATGTTTTCAACAATTAGATTTTTCGGTACTTTGTAGAAGTTGGTCATGGAGAGCGACACGTTACTATATGATGAA